CCCCCCCCCCCCCCCCCCCCCCCCCCCCCCCCCCTCTAAGAAATCCTGGATCCGCGCCTGCTTTGAGTGACCGGTTTTACCCTACTCGTTTTCCCCAATAGTAGTGTTATGAAAACCGTTAGGAAAACGCAAAATTTGATTTCGATTTCCAATCATAAATATCTTGATAATCAAACAGGTGATCGGCTTGTAAAACTCATGGGGTTCCTGACTGACCTAAGGGTTTATAATTAGCATTGCAGCATAAGCTAAATCCAGGATTTTGTTTCAGAATCCGAAACAACGTTACCCAATCCCTTTAAGAGCAATTTACATCTATTTCTGTAACATGGGGCCTCATTGTAACAAATACCTTGGGGTCAGTGATATTACCTCTTTATATTGAAGTTGCTCTATTGAGGCTATAAAAAAAAACAATATCATAATATGAGTGGGACCAGCAGTCTATTCAATTTGTGGAACTATGCATTACATTATCCTCTGATAATTTACAAGTATCATAATAATAGCCTAATAGTCCACTCCAAATTTTATTAAACCGAAACGGAAATTCTTTTTGCCCAATTGATCGTGAGCCCGGCAGCCACTGAGCAGCGCCAGATCGACGTTGCTCTATCCCTCATGTACATTTTTTAAGTAAGATGTTTCAATACGTAAAGCTTGGATATTTATATTCAACTATATTTCTCTATATATGCAATTATCCTTTAAAAAGTAAATTTGTAAATATTTTGTTATTACAATGTAAAGTGACCCTTTCAGCATGTGCTGCTGGTTACACTTGAAAACCAATAAATGAATAAATGAATAAATAAATGAAATAATATTCATGAATACATCAATGAAATATATAAATGATTGAATGAATAAATGAATAATTGATGAAAAAATAAATAATTAAATTAATAAATAAATAATGAAATGAATATATAAATAAATGAATATATAACAAAATGAATTTAAAAAAATGTAATTAAAGTAAATAAAATAAGACACTTGTGTTTAACTCTTCGACAAGAAAGTTTACCTGGGTATAGCGTGAAGACAACTGGCTTCCTCCACTTTACCACTCCATCCTCTTTCACCGGCCATGACATACTCCAATTCTTTACTCCACTGAACTAAAATAAAAACACGCAGATTGAAATATATAAGCTTTCTTGAAATATATAACTATTTCTCCCGTTTTTAAGATTGCAAATGTTTTATATTCATTGAATGTAACACCATGTTTAGGTAGTTGATAAGTCAATCTTATCTTTTGTTCCAATGATTTCTCAAAATACACGTACTGAAACGTTTACACCACAATGTTAGGGCCGCATCTTTCCAATATAAAAGGTAATGATACTTCAGAATTTATTGCCAGCTGATGGTTGTATTCTGGCAGCAATATGCCTGGGCCGCGCCTAACCTAAAGTAAGGTTTAAATTATACAAGTGAGGATGTTAGTCCCATGATTTACGGAGCACCATCTATCAACTTCTTCATGACATTACAAACAGTATCATCATGTTATTAAATGAAGAAACAAAATTAGGTCATAATAAAATTACTTTTTGATATTTATCTCAAGACTTTATAAAAGAATAACAGTGATTTGCATGGAACAATGAATGAATCTGACAGATGGTACTCCGTAAATTGGCGGACCATGTTGAACATTGTTGAGTTCACCTTTTTGATATAGGTATACTTTTTGCTTTTTCTCAATAAACCTGTAAAGCTACTTTGTTACTTTGCACATGTTTCATATTCTATCATTGCTTGTTATACAAGTATTTGTTCATTCATATATTCCTCTTTATTTTTTTGGCGTAGACCTTTTACAAAACAGCTATTAGCTGACGCGGGCATTCCTGATGATTACCAGCCCTTATCTTTACCTGTGCTGTCATGAGCGTATCACAGGTCTCATCTAGATGAGGAGATACACCCGTCCCTGGAACCCCTATGAACCCTGTAATAGGTGAATCGTCGGGCAAGGCATTGCTTGGAAGAAAACTAGGTAGCGGAGACATCTTTTTCATCCAGTCCTGATCAGGAGACAAACAGATATATCAGTTGGGAAAGTTATTAGAGATGTATAGAGCAACAGAGTGGAAGCAAAAGGTGTGCAGTTTGAAACCAAATCAACGGTTTACTGTTCCTTGTTCAGGCATTAAATCCTGTCAGTACTAGTTTGGCCAGAAGGGATTAGACCACCCAGCGTGGTCACTGACAGGTGGCTATCTCATCAACTCAGCTCTCAATTAACGTAAGGAAAAGAGGATCATGGGGAACCAACAGGCACCGCTAAGGCATTGTTTTCTATATAGAGAGAGCAAGTAGCTACAAGTAGTACAGTGGGGCTTTCAAGGGTACCACTTACCCCAAAATATTTACTGTGTATATAAGGAGTTCCATGTCACTATACTTCATTCAAAATATGAAATTCAACAAATAATTCTACAAAGAGGTGTTGTAAGTGTAACACCCATAAAGTGTGACTATATAGTATGGCCATCATTCCCTCAGCATTGATTCATTTAACTACAGTTGCCCCTCTCTCTCTCTCATCTCTCTCCGATTCCTTTCCCCTCTCTCTACTGTGTGGGGATATACACCTGTTATGCACATAACCCTATAGGCTTCTCTATCCTCCACTCTCTCTTCTCTGACCACCTCTCTCCTTGGAATGTTATCTTTAGTCCGCTTATCTGGACATTGCAAACATGTGGTCATTCTCTTTTGCTTCTGAACATTGTGAGGGGAAGACGTATACTGGTGCTGGCTCCCTTTTATAGGTAAGAGAATGATATTCTCACTACTAATTCTCACATTCTCATTCTTAATCTAGAGTGATGTATATATATATGTATGTATTTGTATATTGCTAGATAAATGTATTTCACTTCTTAAAACTTGGTTATATCATCTAAATTCCCATTCTCTGTCAGATGATTTGTCAATGTAGGGAACTTGTGATTCACTACATAGTCTTAGCACATTCTCTGAAGACCTGTTTATTACCTTGTTTATAGTCTCTTGAGTGAGAGTTATGTCGGTCAATGCATGGGCATAATAGTACATCTCCTGTGGAGTATAGTTGTATTATACGTACATAACTGTTTGTTAAGAGCAGCCCTTGTTAATACAGTATTAGATATAATTATCCTGATTTGGAGAAGCAAGGCATACAGGGTCTGAATGACCTAGACTAGATGCCAGTTGGTCAGTAGGACACAGAAGGAAAAGTCTGTGTAAAGAAAGGATCTGATTGTTTTAGTACATGTACATGTACTATACTACATGCTTCTGCTTGAGAGGAATTTTATACTCTTCATATATTGCTTTCTCTTATATCTTTGACTATGTTTATTAACTATGTTTCGCCTTATTATGCGATTGCCTTTGAACAATTAATGCATTGTTTGCCACTCTTGTGAAACACTGAATTGGAAAGAGATTAGTTTATGTTTGTTGTTACATTATTATGTCTCTTTTACATATTGTTATTATCCAAACTAATATGTGAATTCTGGCGTTGGTCTGGTCAAATCGGTAGTCAGCCTGCTACTGAGGGCGTCAACGTCATAAAAGGGTATCTCTGTCCAGTTCAGTTGTTATGTGGTTTTGTTATATTAATGTATGCCCAGTATACTTGCTTTGTTTTATTAACCTCCCTTTTATAGCCCTTCACTGCGGAGAAACGAATCTTCGGCTTTCTTGAAGAGATCACGCAACTCCATCCCATATCAACCCTGTCCATTGGATAACAGCCTCCATATTTAAATCGACTTATATGAACGCTATGCAGCAATGATCATATAGGGAACGCTATCCTGAATTAATTATTGTTCTCCAACAATACGCGTTTGAGTTTGATAGCAACGTACCATATTCGTTGATGAGCGGACAATCTTCTTCTTCTTTATAAACGACCGGTCTTATTAATATAAATCGTAGTGGGCCCTTAAGTATATTATGTTTGTTTATTTGATTATCTGTAAAAGTATATCTCATGCCTTAGCTTTATCCACCCTTCGGATAAGCAGATTAAAGGTGAAACAGTAAATCAATTACTATTGTCTTTATATTCCTTTGTTGACTGTATGCATGATATTGAAGCACGAACCTGGTGTTACATAAGTATAAATTCATGCTCGCTAAACATAAAATCATCTTGTGAGTTGATGCACTTGTACACGCTTAGAACCTGAGTCCGACTTTATGATTTAACCCTTTCGTGACAATTATTTCACATTTTTGTTTTATGACCTTATTGCATTTGATAAAAAATATTTTAAAAGGAAAATAAGCTTCAAAAACATTAAATTGGCTACACGTTAAGAGGTTTCAAATCAATGAATTTTCAATAAAAAATTTGCCAATTTTTTCAACTTCTCAACCAAGTTTCTACCCATGCTTTTGTTTTCAGAGACATTACATTTCATTAAAACAATGTAGCAATGAATGAAACACATTTTGGTTGTCGCTTTGGAGAACATGTGATCAATTTAGCCCTTTAAAAAAATCCTGTTCTGAAAGATTTAACATATTTAACCTTCTCTTTTGTTAACTCATAGAATACCAGGTACAGTTCTTTTTAGGTTGATTTTATGCATTCTAACTATTCCTAAATTGTTTTTAAGGTGATTGGAAGCCTTTAATCCCAAATAAATTCAGTCCTTTTGATATTAAAGATTCACAGTAAAAGGTGTCCCTGATGCTCACCAACACAAAGAATCTTTTTTAGAGTTTCATTGATATTGCAATTCAGAACTTTTGAGCATGTTTTTAAAATTCAAATTTAGTTTTATTTTCCCCTTCCTTTATTCTCCTTCAAATATTACCTCTCCATATGTTCATCAACCTTGAAAATCATATAACATCCTACTTCTTGACAAAAGATATATATTGATGTCATTAAAATTAGGTGCATATACTGACAAGCCAATAGAGAAAACTGTTGATGGCACAAATAACCTTTATATGCTTGACAACACCAGGCAAAGTTGAAGTCTTTTGATATGTTAGATTATATCATTTGCCTTATGTTAGACAGTTTGAATATCATGTTGAATCTTTCCTTACCTTTACATATTTTGAATTCTCCGGCCAAAAAGGTTCTATGTATCCAGCTGCACATTTCATTCCCTCATAGCCAGGTCTATTGCTTATATTGGACAGCTTAAATTTCACATCAGCCTGTAAAGAAAAGTAAAAATCCTTTAGTCAAATTTATACCCTGGAATAAACAAACGTTGTCTGTATTTATTTGTGAAGAATTGCACATTTACAGAGCGAGTAGGAAATTACCATCATATAAATATTTATCAATAACAAATATATAAAAATTGTATAAACACTACTTAAGTACCGGTAGGGGTGCTCATGGCATTGCAATGTCCCCCTAGATTATGATTTGGCAACGTATACATACCTTTTTAACAAACTTTAACTTTTACCAGCCCTATGCCTTGTAGACTGTTACAAGAATTCAAGTAACAAAGCACCTAGGACAAGGTTTTGTCAATCTTTCTCTCATATACTGGTATAATATATGTATGGATCAATAAATCCAGGGTTCAGATTCTTTCACTGTACTTAAGGCATTGCAATACATTTTACCTAAACTTATCTCTCTCTCTCTCTCTCTCTGCCAGAATGAATGGCTAAACAGAGTGAATGGCTTGCTTTTTTTCTCCAGCTTGGCTAAATGAAGGAATTTCTCTGAGTAATTTATTAGATAGATGGCGCTATTCTACTTCTACTACTGGTGCATTAAGTGAAACAACTGTAGGATGTAGATCCAAAAACTTAACTACAGACATATAGGCAATTGACAGTGAATTGAACTCTTAACACCTTGAATTTTAGCCAAGTACTTCAACCATCAATCAAGCGGAGCTCAAATTCATTATTCACAAGATGCGGTAAACTGCCTAAGCAAAACAAAAACAATTATACAGGTAAATGTACTCTAAAATAGGGTGAGAAAAGGTATCTGCAAGTAACAATGGTGCCTACTCATGTTCATTATTTATCTGTGTGTTATAAGATACATAAATGTGAGCCACACTCGGATAATGTCATTTCATTTTGCTATGTTTCTTTTTCTTTTTCTTCCTCCTTTTAGAAAAAGGGGGGGGGGGGGGGTGGTTACATCATATGGGATAGGGAAAGGGCTTAAAACACTTACCTGCCAGTCAAAATAGTCTGCATCTTTATATTCCTTGGTGAATGAATCGCAATCCCATGTTCCAAAACTCTCCCACCCTTAAAGAGAATAAAAGAGTACATTCATATAATGATAGCACTTAACTAAAGAATAGACACCACTTCTTTACAACTACATTTGAGGACAATTGTGTGAACTTCTAAGGCTGAATCCAGTTGTAACTATTTTTTTTTATTGTTAAAGGGGAAGTCCGTCCTGATATAAGGTTGGCTTCAATAGAACCAGGAAAATGAGAAGAACAGGTCAGTGAAGTTTTTTAAATTTCTGCACAGAGCGAATTGGAGGGGACCTCGCAAGATTCGTCACAGTGTTGCCAATTTGTGTTTTACTGAATGAAAACTTTAAAATTGTATAACTTTCCTACTTTTAATTGGATACTGCTGAAACTGTCACTAATGTGTTTTTCTTGTTATTCTGCTTTTATGAATACCACCTAATTATTATGGGTGGACTTCCCCTTTAATTATATGTCTCATTAAAAAAACGATAAACTCCCTGTACTTGTTTATGTTTGAGAAAGAAAACATTAGCTGCAGTGTAGTCTTTATGTGGGGCATGAAATGGATAAATCTCTAACTGCTTTTATAAATTTGTCAACACCTTTCGAATTCCATTCAATACAATTTTTCTTTAATTTGAACCTGCGAGCTGCTAGGGGACAGAAAACTTAAGATCATTAGTAATAGACTATCAAACATTTTTATGTTTGCTTCAACTTATATTTGCTTGTAAGATTCATACTTGACTATATCAGGGGAGGGGGTTCATTTTGATGAAATAATAGTGGTAAAGATACGACAGCATACATGTACTTAAGACAGCACAAGCCAAAGTTTTCATATCCAGATGCATGACAGGCTGGGATTTATATTCTTGAGTTGTTTTTATCAAAATAACAAAGGATTACCTACTGTACACATACATTACATGTTCACACATGTATTGCCAGCCATTTTTGTATGTTGTCCAATTTGCAATTGAACAACACAATTCACAAAATTTTTAAAAGTGCAACCCTTGTAAAATTCATGGCTCATACAGTGAACAGTTAAGTATTAAAAATCTTGCTAACACTTATGAACTTCAAATGGATCAGATTTCTTTTTGAGCTTTAGAATATGTCGTATGAAACCTACTCCTCCAACAATTGCTCTGCGTCAATTTCCTACTCTAATCAAATTTTTAACTTTATCCCTGAACCTGAACACTATACCTAACCCTAACCCTAATCTAAAACCTATAACCCTATAACTTTGACAATATAAAGCTCAGGCAACTGTAACTGGTGAAAATTTCAGCTAGGTCACCCTAAAAACATCTACCTTTCATTGCATCTGTGATAATGAGGGGTTCTCCCAACTCGATCAGATCCTCAAACTCTTGCTGTGTTTTTGGACTGGGTATCCTTCTCAAGGTCTCTGACAGCCTGTCATCAAGGTAGGACCTCTCCTCAGCAGGGATCCAGGATGGACATTCTGAAGTTAGCCTTTCAAAAACATCTGTAAGTACATGTATATGGAGACAGAATATTATACAAAATTACAGATGCAGAGCTATACATAGCTGGGGCCTTTTATTTCAAAATATTAAATGGAAAATAAAATTAAAAGTGTTTTAAAAAATGTTTAAAATAATAACAACCACCATCACCAACAATTTTTAAAGGCATCGTTTAACAATATTAGATCTTAGATGCACGGCCCTCTACATGCTATCAGTGTCTGTGATATTTATGGTGTAAAATCGAGCCCTAAAATAAATCGCGCTTCAAAATGATCAAGAAGTGGCTCAAAAAAGTAAAAATATTTTGAGAGGGTATTTAATTTAGGGGATTAAGCACTTGTGTAGACCTACATCAACATCATGATAAAATACAAAACTATAGATTGCTTACGATATACTTTTTTAAGTTGCTTGTTGTAGCTGTGTGAACTTTTTAGTTTTTACGCAATTTACAAGCCAACATCATGCAACAGTTAATTCGAAATGGTTTTTGATTTTAGAAGTGTTAATATTCAAGATTTTCTGGTTTTTGGACTAGCAGTTGATGGCTCAGGAATTATATATAATATGATATTGATATCAACATGTATCAAACTTTACAGGATTCAAATGTCATGCTTCACGAGTCAACACAAGTGGAATGGAAGGTCACATCATCATCAGACATCACTCATCACTTTACTTGCCTTGCTTGAAGTAATTAAGTTTAAGCACAAGTTGTTCTCCGAGAGCAGTTTTCATGACGAACCATGTCACCGGAAGAGTGACCTTCCAGAAAAAAATCAGGGCAAGAGGGAATGTTATTGCCATGATCACTCCAGCTTTATAATCGACAGTCAGTTGCTCAGTCGACAGTGGCTGTAGGCTCGACGCTCCTTTCCCCAGCCCGCCAGACAAGGGGTCCACGGTTCGAGCATTCCGCTCGAGAGTACTGGATCGCTCATTTCCTTTCGTGAGTCTTTTTTTCGGAGTTGTTTTCTTTGCAGGCATTTTAATATATTGTTATACCATTCAAATCGTTACCCGATGTACATTTCTGATGTAAGTTCTTATCTTCTACTTAATGTGTCAATTAATCAAAGTAAATTCAAACTTCCTTTTTGACTCCTCGCTCTTCCTCAAGGCAGTCAAGCAAAACATATTCCGCTAGACCCTTATTGTGATCGAGGAAGATATGCTACATACACATATTGGTAACTCAGTGCAGTAGCATCGAAAATTTAAAGGGTTCGAAGGATCAAGGATTTGAAGCAACAATGGGGAAAATCAAGCGACAGAGAAGAAAATTACACCCATCAGTGGTGAAAGATGCAGATAAGGATGCTGTGAATGAAATGGACACGGTGAGCATAGTATTCAATTAAAGAAATATAACACTATTGTATGAAAATGATATTTAATCTAGGCATGGCACTTCACATGGTCCCATGTGATGCTATTTGTGTGACTTAGATAGTCATTCTAATAACCTCATTCTTCCCCGCCCCCCCCCCCACTCAGTGTTATTTAGGGTACGCATATGCTCGTTCCCTCTTTTTGAAAGCACCCCCTATCTGAGGACTGCCAACATTTCCGAACCCCCCTTTCGTGGGCTTTTTGCGGGCTTTTTGCGGGCTTACCTGCCTTGGAGACCCCCTAAATTCGGAAAAATGCTCAATGTACCCCCCTAAATTCAGAATAATTTCTCAGGATCGAGTCCAAAGAGATGAGAGTAAAAAAGAAAAAACACCCCCTTTGTAAAGAAATCTCTGGGTGAAAAGTCAAATGCACCCCTTTTTTTACAAATTCTCGGGGCCGGACTTTGTTGCATGAAAAGTACCCCTTTACCGGACATTTTGTCAACACGCATGCGGTCATTCCGACCCCGGAGTGGGGGGGGCCGGGCATCCTTCTCAGCCAAAACTCAGATGGTTTTAAGATAGTTTGGGAAAGGAACAAGTTAACACCCTATATGGTCTGATGCTTTGCTTTACCTGACTGCTAAGAAAGCATGGACCGACTGCTTAAATTTTCTAGTTAAAAGTTCTCAAAGGATCAAGGGATTTTTTTCTCCAATTATCGTCCGTTTTCCCACACTGCTCTGGGGTGGGGATTTTACATTTATTTTGTACTATGTAGTAGATCTCTACTGCCCAATTTCTTGTGGTCTGGTTTCTTGCATGATCAATCGAGGACAAGGTTTGATCATATTGAAATGGAGTCTCATGGGCCATGAGGAAAATAGCAATGCTTGTCCGAGTTGTTGCGCAATTAACCGCAAGTCTTCTTACTTAGTCTTCTTCTGTTATAATATAATAGAACAGAGTTTTGGTCAAGCAAGCTATAACAGTAGTAATGAAAAATGGCGAACGTTACAAACTACAAATCCATGGTTTGCCTATTGATAACATGAAATAAGTACCTTGTGTATGGTAGGAGTGGCCTTCTTTGGCACCCATTTGTGGGGAGGGGGGGGGGGGACATGAAGATCGGGAACAGGAGTGTTTAGAATGAACAAAAAAAAACTAAGGATGAATTAATTCTTTTTCTAGCATTTTATTTCAGGCATTCCTTAATTGTTGGTAAGAGGTATCGGCTGAGCAGATTTTTGTTAAATTTATGTTTAAAATTATTCAGACTAGGGAACTCATCATTTGCATTATCTAAAAAGCTCAGTACATGGAAGTACAGTACATGGAACCTAGAAAATAACATTTGTGTTTTGTGCAAATAAATAGTATCAAGTATTGTATCAAGATTCTGGGAGTCTAGTAAATTCAATTTCATTCACTCCTGCTTCCTTAATTCATCATAAGAATTCTAATTATTAGACATTTTATTATTCTTGTGTGTCTCTTTTTATTCTTTCTCTCATCATCGACATATGTAGGGCCTATTACAGCCGAGTGTCTTGTTTCCAACCAAGGGTCTCCTCCAAAGCTCTAATACAGAAGATGCGTCTCTTCCCCTCCAAACAGAGGATGATCGAATGTCCTTTGTGTCCAAGAAGAGCATCAAAGGGAGCAAGCAAATCACTAAGGTGGAGAAGAGAAAACTTCGGCATGACAAGTGGTTGGAAAGTGAGTTTCTGTTGGGCTACATGGCATAAATCTTGGCCTTGTGTAAAGTATTTTTGTTGTTAGATTGTCACATGTATGATGTGTGAGGAAGCTCTTATTAAATTACATGTATCTGACTTTTTCCACCTATATTAAGCAGTTATCATCCACTAATTTGCTTGGTCTAGGTTGGAAAGTGTCAAAGTAACTTCTTTTGGGGTATGATTCCTTATTGTTAATGTTATCAGATATGTTTTAAAAGGCAAAAGAAAGGCAAATCTGGCTAATAGCTGGAAGTTCATATTGCTTTACATTTTCACAACCAAATTATATCCTTTTCTTATAAGTATAGAATGGCATCTCATGTGATAGACTGAAAAATGTTTTGGCCTGAGAACTTAGCTTTGTTTTATAAAATGCTGAAATTAAAATTTTAAAGTGTGATACATGTAGATACTGATGATGTGTTAAAAACAAGTGTTTGTGCTGTTATAAAAGGAATTTAAGGTAAGGGATTAGCCTGTGACATATTTACTGCCCTCTGACAATATTAACAGGCAGATAGTGCGTCACTTTTATATTTGATTATCAAAGTACTGACACAGCTATGATACACCTGCAACGACAAATGTCTTCTTCATTCACTCAACAGAAGTGGACACCATAAGCTCTGCCAAGAGGAGAGCGATGGATGCCAAGAAGAGAGCAGGAGTACCGGTCGTGGGTGACATGAACCCTCTTAATGAAGCCCTTCCAGAGCTTTCAGAGATCCTGAGGATTGGACCTCACTACACACCAAACAGCTCAAATACCAGGTGCCGTTTTACAGTTCTACGACAATAAAAATTGCTCTGCTAACTATATATCTAACGTTATCCCTAATTCCCTGAAGCAAACACTAAACTTAACCCTAACCCTAACTTCATCCCTAACCCTGTATCTTTAATGAAATAAAGCCCCACGTAATTGCTGCCAGAGCATTTGTGAGAACACCAAATATTATCAGGGAACTTCTGAGATATCAGGTGTTGCATTTGATCATTTTAATTGTGTATCCAAATAAATACTAAACAAATGTACACCTCGTAGCTCCGACACTAGGACATGGGTATTAATTTGACCTTTTAAAAGAAAATAACCAAAGAAAGCTACTGTTTGTAATTGAAACCTCACAACATCCCCGGTTATCCAAGAGATTAATTATAATCGATAACTAACTGATAGCTGTACTATGTTCATCCGGGGTGGGTAGGGTAAAAAAGTGGTAAAACAGTTTTGCCCTCATATAATGGCACAAAGTATAGGAAACATTGAATATATTTGTGATGTACATTTCAGTGAGGGATACTTGTTTCCAGTACGTTAAAAATGTATAAAATTGTCTTTTCACAGGAACAGCCAGCCAGCAAAGAAGCCAAGAGCCACCCTAAAAATGAAAGATAAGCAGAAGATGATGTAAGTATGACAAGTTCTTCTTGCAAATACAAAGAGTTCTTTTAAGATATCATTCTTTATTTGTTATGCACCTGTATGAGAAAGGGACCATAAAACAGCTTTCTAAATGAGATATCAAAATATAACTATTTTTTCCACTTGTTTATTTACTGTCAATTTTTTTTCTTTTACCAGTTTGTTTTCTTCCCTGTTATTAACCAAACTTAAACTATTGGCTATGGGAACTGGTGGTTCCTGTAAAAAGCTTATAAGAATGGGAGAATTCAGTAGTCAATAGTTTAATAAACAGGAGTATTTTGTTTTGTATTGTATTTGTAGATCTCCTCAGATAAACATAGTCTCCTGAAATATAGAAGAGCCGACACTCCCCCCCCCCCCAAGAAATAAAATAACATCTCATATTATTTCTACTTTTACCCCTCTTATTTCTAGGCTTGAAGAGAGTGCAAGATTCCAGGAGGTTCTGAAGCATTCAGCATTCAAGAAAAACCCCTTTGCAACCATCAATGTACATCTGAAGAACAAACTCAAACAAGAGCAGCAAGCGCAAGAAACGTGATAGAGGACTGGATGCCATCATTTTAGTGATGAAATGGACTATCATGTTTAAACCTACAGATCAAAGCAGAATATGGGGGCATTCTAGTTCTGCAAATCTGCTTTGTAAGATCTCGTACTCATGTATGTGCACAGAACCCAATTCTGTTCAGTGGACAGTGCTTTTACATTTTCCTTTATATTCGTCATACTCCACCACTCTTGGCCCACAGAATGCAAGAAAAGGTTAAATTTTAGATGATTTTATACTTCAAATCCTTCACAAATTACCATTTTTAATGCGATTGGTTCCCAGTGAAGATCGTCAACCTGGACTCCTGGAGTCTTTCCCGTTTTATGTACAGCCTCTGTTTGTAGCAAAAAAGCTTTTGCTTTATTTCTATTTTGACATCTACTTAGCACAAAGTATTTGTAGCTGCATGTAAGTATGTATGTACATTATTATAATATCAACATATTACTTACATAAATAGAAGTGAATTGTGCAAGATCAATCCTTATTAATAAGGTATATTTTTACTTATTGAAGCCATAATAAATCTGTATTATTTTTGTTTAACTTTTGGAAACTTGAATGAATATACTTGAATGAAATGGATGTATCTAAACTAAATGCATCATAAAATGCAAGTTATATAGAATCGCCAAACTTTAAGTCTACTAAAGTATTTCTTAAGTTTATAAGAAAAACACAAGATCATGTGCCATCTTTTTGATGATCGGTTGATGCTGAATAAGTATGAAATGCATGCATTTTAAATAAACTACAAGTTTACTATTATAATTTTTTTATCTTTAACTAATATTATGTTTTCATCATAAACATGCATGTGCGATTGTATCACATATTTTTAAGCACAGATTTTTAATGTCATACAAATTGTCTTCCACTTATTGAGATGAAGAAGGTAAAAAAATCAACTACTCTTGGAAAAAATTAGATTCACAACATCAGTTGTTTTCATATTGATTTTTAAAAGTACTAAGTACCGGTATAACAAAATAAATATGACACTGTTATTATTTTAATTGCTGATATTCACATGTACATGGGAGAAGCTGTGGTTTCAGTTTTTCGTCTTATTACAATGTTCGGTTATTTATTACAGCAATAAATCATCTGTTTGGAGCCCTTTTGACTCTGAACAGACAGAATTTTGTTTCTTATGAAGAAATGATTATTATGCTTCTGTAAGTTTGTTATTCCTTGACTTCTTTCTTGTAATTTATTAATCACAATTAAAATCATCAGAAATTCAAATGCCATCAATCTTTGTTAAAATTCTACCTGTAAAGATGCTTAAATTCAACATTCATTGACAAATAAAAAACATGCAACATTTTTCTTATCAGAAAATCAAACACATGGAATGTGTAGGAATGTGTAATACAGATGTATCAATGGATATTTGAAGTACCGGTATATAAATAATGACACCTTTCATAGTTGTATTCATGGTCTTGTAGCATCACATGACACACAAATTACCCCCTCACTACCACCTTTATAATTTAAAACTGTATTTCTTGAAAGTTTGAGATCGGGGGGGGGGGGGGGGGGGGGGGGCAATTATTACCCAATGTATCTAAAGATTTGTTTTAAAGGGGGAAATAATAAGTGTACATGTAATAAACTTCAGTCTGTAATTGTAGTAATAGGGCTTTACAGATAATGCAACTAATGGTTGATGATTTATATATTCTAAATGGAACTTCAGACTATAGAACACTAATAACAAGCTCTCATTCTAACAAGGTGATGTTGTACTATATACAATCGCAGGGGCGTACGCAGGATTTTTTCAAGGGGGGGGGGGGGTTTTAAAATATTTAACTCCCGAAAATGTGAAAATCGCGCCAGCCGAAAAGTCGCTCAGTGGGGGGGGGGGGGGGGGGGGGGGGGGGGGGGGGGTAAGCGGACACTTTTTTTTTTTTTTGGAGTCCAAAAAAATTCGCAACGACTCAGCTAGCCAAAAAGTCGCTCAGTGTGGGGGGGGGGGGGGGGGGTAAGCGGACACTTTTTTTTTTTTTTTGGTCTCGAAATTTCAAAATTTGACATTTTTCATCGTGGGGGGGGGGGGGGGGGTAAGGTCACCTTTTTTAGGTTAGCCGTGGGTGTAATTTTTTTTTTCTATAATAAAAAAAAAATATAAAAAAAACAAAGGGGTGGGTTTTAGGTTTTTTTAGGGGGGTTTACACACATAAAAATACCAAAGGGGGGGGTTTGAACCCCCCAAACCCCCCCCCCCCCCCCCCCCCCCCCCCCCCCCCCCCCCCCCTGCGTACGCCCCTGTACAATTCTCTTCGGCCCAAAATATATAACAACTCATTTACCTAATATCTGATGATTGTTCTGGTAAGGTTCTCCTGCATTTGTCGTCAGAGGGCGACAATGCACACGAATGCCGTGGTTGTGGAAGTATAGAACAGGCACACTTGTACTGTAAACGACGGGCGGCAAAATATACAAGTTACTTTGATATGACAGGATCATCAAATAACGTGTGGGTTGAAACAAAGATAGAGAGTAAGTGAGAGATAGAGAGAGTGGAAGAGGGAAGAGGTTGAGAAAGGAGAGGTGAATGAACACGGACAGAGAGAGGAGGTCAAACAGACAGACAGTGAGAGAAGGAACGTCAGAATAAATTTGCCGCCAAGATAGCAACAAAAAAATAGAAATACAATAATGAAAAGAATAGGATGTGGCGGAACTTATTTGTATAAGAATAAACGATATATTTTAATAACAGTTTTCCCCAGTTTTCCCACACATGAGAGCACATTTTTTCAAGTAAAATGAAGAAGGAGAAGGAAAAAAAAGAAGAAGATGAAGAAGAAGGAAACAAAAAAATAAAGAAGGAGAACAAGGAAAAGAAGAAGACGAAAATAAGAATGACAAGAAAAAGAACAGAAAGAAGAAGAAGAAAAAATGGAAGAAGAAACAGTAAAAGTGTCTACAACATTTATAGTGCCATCAGTATACGTGAAACACCCCGAAGGTTTCTGTGGACAAACTTAATAAACCTGCTCCTCTCGATATAAAGGAGAAGGGGACCGGGGGAGGGGCACTAAACCGCCTTTGCGTGGATGCTTTGACCTATTGATTCGTTAATTCAATTACCTGCCATAAAATGACAATTTTTTAGAATAAAGATATATAGTGAATAGGTCAAATAGATAGCTTTCAGGAGCGTACGTCGCTATTTGCATGCCAGCCTATACTCGGTGAAATCTGTTATTTTCAATCGGTAGATCTGTAGTCGGTTTAAAGAATTTTGTAGGCTACCTACGTTACCGTCACTTGCCACGATTTTCGGGACATCTACCTTACCTTTCATTTGAAAACTTGTGTTTACCATTTCAGAATTTAAGATGAAAACTCTTCTTGATATAGGAATTAAGTTTCATTTTTTGTTGAAGATTCTATTCCGATGGGATACCGGCCTTCCCAACATTACAAAATGATAGTGAAAACCACTTGGTAAAAGGCCCTTCGAAGGACCTTCATAACTAAAGCAGAAATATTTAAAAAGAACAAACATAGCTTGATAGAAGTTTAGCGTTATTTAAACAAGATCACTCATTCAATGGAACAGTTTGAGTTTAAAGAAGAAGAAAAAGTTATGGTGATACTTGATAGTAATTTAGTATAGTTCTGACGAAAAACGAACATCCTATAATATGCCTATAATTATGCATGTGAGAAGGGCGTGTCTATTCAGAAATGCGTGAACAAATTCTTTCTCATGTATCATATTGACTACTCACCTCCCTCCCCCTTAAAACTAATTTCTAAAAAAAAGTAAAATAAATACTGATCAGATCGAGACCTCAACCCTCCCACCCCGACACGCCCACTGAGTTTGGGAGGGGAAATCCCCCTTTCTCTTCGCTTGATGTGCCAATCATGACAGGAGAAGGTTGTTTTTACGAGCACGTACGCGTGCGTTACCTAAAGTAGTCTTAAGTGCAAGCAATGATCGAAATCTAAAATTGTCGTAATTAAATAATTACAAAATCACGATTAAAAACGAGCTAAAAAAATTATTGTACTTAAATAAAGCTCATTAAATTATAATTAAATAATACAATTCTCATTCCGCTTAAATAAAATAGGTCTGACTTGACTGACTATGTAATTATTAAAGAGGCACAATTAGGATATTTTTCGTTATGTTCAGGGGAAAAGACTAGCCGTACGAGTAATTCGCGCGTGCTCTACATGAATCGCATGTATGTTTGGAAGAGACACACGCGCTCTCCGGGTGATGATAATTGAAATCACTCATCGGTGCCACTTCATCCTGTTGTAGCGGTGAATTTAGGGCAAAATTATGCGCAAAATGGCGTCTGCAGGCGTCTACGGTGCTGTAGCTGATGATGACAATATGTCTTTGAAGTTTGATTCCAAGACCCTGGAAATAAAGACGAAATCCATCGAGCAAACCCTCGTTCCACTTGTCACTCAGGTAAGCCGGTTCTCTATTTTCACGGTCGAGTCTTCTGCTCACACACATCACACTCGACACTTTTTCTACACTGTCTTCCCATTATAAGTTGGCCCATCGTCGAATCGGGCTTGCAGTGCAGTGTTGCACTTGCTTCAATTCTTCATCATGTTGTTAGAAGATGTGAGTGTCTGACTGAGAATGAGATTAAAATAGATACATATAATGGTACATCTTACATTACAGAGCTAACAAATTCAGGGAAAACTGGAAGACGAAACAGGGAAAAAAATGTCTACCTGTATTAGGCCTAGCTGAATACTGCTTTCATCTGCTCCAGAGTCTAGGCAGCCATCAGCCATCATTTTGTAATAGTTGGTCTAAAATTGTTGTGAAGAAAGATTGTGTGAATATCATATGATATGAATTGTATATGTAATACCATGAATAGATGAAAGGAAGAAGTGTGCAAGTGATTGCCACAATTTTTGTGTGATAAAAAAATACAAAAAAACTTATCCCTGTCTATAGAAGTCGTAAGAGACAATGTTTGTATCTTCATGTGTAATACATAGTGTATATTCTATCAATGTATCAATAATTATATTAATTATGAATTTTTTTTTTTTCTTCAGTTCATCAGTCAACTATTTGTTATTCTTATAAGGTACTATTTTGTTTACCTGTGCATACAGTAGTTCATTATCAAGTCAATAACGCTTTAGTTGACTTTAATAGTGAAAGAATATGTTGGTGCAAAATTTCCTGGTGCCTTCTGGCAGCAAAGTGAACTAAATGTAAATAATTGCATTCAGGGCTGGGTCAGTTATTTGAAAATATTTGCAAAGGAAGGAATATCATGGTTTACTTTTAGAGCTCCCACTATTTAAACATGTACAAGAAATTGCACTGTAATTTGTAAATTAGAATACCGGTACACAAATTCAATGAGTGGGCAGTTTTACGTATTATTTACACATACTTAAACGGACTAACAACCAAAGTGTATTTGCTTTGGTAATTCTGGGTTCCATGCCTTATACCCTGTCATAAAAATAGCAGCTCAAGAATATTCCTTTTTTAATTCTCTAAAAATGAGGGTTTTGATCGACTTTAGAAATATATCTGTCTGCCTGTCCTCAATGTGCCGGTATATGAGTTGGGTTTATAATGAAAATTCTACTCATTTGCTTTGCCACTGCTAGTGCTAGTATGGGTTGTGAAATGAAATGACTAACTCATTCAAAAATACATTCAGCATTTACATCTAAATGTACATTTAGATGTACTGATGTAGGTGACAAATATCTGCAGAAAGCAGTACCACACTATATAGTTATGCAGCTTACACTGTACAGTGAGGTGTCCTCCCACCTCCCTGCACTGTATATACTTTGTACATGTGCAAGTAAAAAAGAAGCTTATATGTTATTCATACTTCCACATACTTCCTGTGATCCCCAGAAACAGTTGTATCATCTTCCTGTAATCTCGTGCATATGAAGTAGCACACATACATGTACATGTACTTACATGTATGAAGTAATTATCAAAATTTATAGCATTAGAAGGAAGAAACACAAACTTGAACTGGAAGCCTGACTGCTGAGAACACAGCAATCTTCCAGAATCTCGGGTAAAAAAAAAAAAAATTGTAGGAAGTTAGCAGTGGCATTG